TATTTTTCTTTTTTTAAAATTTATCATTCTGATCTGCGACGCACAGCTCATTCATGATCACTAATCAACTTCTTGTTTACTTGATGATGCTATAATAGATTTTTTTATATTTGTTCCACGATCATCAGAATGCATGTTCAAGATCTTCATATCTTTAAAAAAAAATTCGACATGGAACCGAGCACCGCCACCAGGTGTGAAAATTGCAGAGAATTAATTGAACAAAAAAACAACACGATAGAATTTCAACAAAATAAATTAATAAACTACCAAGATCTTTTGGTTAAAGCACAACGTGATTTGATTGATACGAAAAATGAGTTATTGAGAATAAAGGCCAAATATAGTATTGGCTTTAGAATTTATGGCAATTCTGATGGTGAAGATAGTAGTAGTTCTTTTGACTACCTGGCAGCGACAGCAACAACAACAACAAATTCTGATAAGGTTTTTGATAACTTTCCTGATTACAATAGTGTTAGTGATGAAAGTAGTGAATTTGATTTTTTGCACTCGTACAATGAACAATCTTTAGCTAATAATAACAACGTTTCTGTATCGAATGGTGGTGGTGGTAATAGTAGTACTAATAGTAATAATAATAGTAGTAGTATTGGTAATAACAATAATGTATCGAATAATAATATGTCCAATAACATATCCAGTAATAGTAATCATTCATCAAATAATAATAATATGTCTAGTGATGGTAATGGTAATATATCGAACGATAAGAAGAAAATCTCCAAAATTTCTACTGAAAGGAATACATCGAGTGAAAAGAAGATGTATAACAGTGATAGGCATAGGGATAGGAATCATGGAAGCAGTACGTATCGTAAAATCACTTTTTAGTTTTTTAAATGATCCCATCTTTTTCAATTTATCAATCAGATTCGATCAATTTAGGAAAATATAAGTTGTTTCTTGGTAATGTGGTACGACCTGTCACTGCACTAGTTTTAAAGAAATACCTTGAAAGTTCTTTTGGGCCTGTGATAGAAGTTAAGCAGGATGGATCTTTGGTAAATATAAACATTGATAATAATATGAATAAGAAAGAATAGATTTAAATTTCAAAGTGCTATATATAATATATATATATATGTATGTATAATCTTAACATCATTTTTATATATATATATATCATTTATTCAATACAAAAAGCCATATGCATTTGTATATTTTGCAGATTCAATAAGTTATTATAAAGCAGTAAATTCTGGCAAATTATCAATAGGTGATGTGACTGTAAGGATTGAAGAGATTCGTGTAAGAAGACATTAATCTCTGGAAATCAAAAACATCGGGTTTTTTTATTTTCATCAAGGATCAATTAATTGCTTTATAGCTTAGCTAAGCATTATTATTATTAGTATTACCGGTGCGGTGATAGTTCAAAGAAATAAATTTTCATCAAAGAAAAATTTGATAAATCAAAAAAAACATAATGATGACCGCAATAGAGAGAAAGGGAAAAATTGTAACAAAGATATTTGATTGCTCAGTAATATATTATATAAAATAATAAACTTTAAAACTTATTATTTGAAAATGATTAATTCAAATAAGTTATTATTTGAAAATGATTAATTCAAATAAGTTATTGTTTTTATTAATGTCTGTGATAATAATAAAAAGTAATATTCTACTATAGAAACCAGTTAAAAGAAAAGAGAAAAAGGCCTATTTGCTTACACATCAAGAGAAGAATATTTATCTAGAAGGTAATTCTTGGTGAAGGTATAATTGTTGTTGCTGTTCTAATTCCTTTCTAATTCTCCAACTTTTTTCTGTAATTCTCTAATTTGTTGCCCTTGACTCTCTTCCTCTTCTAAAATGACAACTTCTGAACCCAAATTTCTTTCCTCTTGTCCTAGGGGATAAAGTTCAATGTTAGATCTCTCAGCAGATTCTTCCATTCTTTCCATCCCCAAATTATTAATACTAATTTCTCTCATTGCCCTCTTTTCTCTATTCTTTCAATAATTATCAAAATGGAACCGGGATTAAAGAAAATGATGCTAATAAGACACAAGAAAGTAATCCAGTTAAAGACATCCTAATTGCATTTACATCTTTGGTAATAAAAATAGTGGGTTTGCAACCCTGGAATATACATTCAATAATGGCAAACAAAATACTAAGAAAACCAAAAACCACTGCACCAACAAGTGCTAATTGAATAGAGCCCACACATAAGCAAATGGCTAACAGTTCAATTAATCGCAAACATTCACTCATAACAGATATTTATGCACTATTTTTTGCCCATAAAAATTCAAAATGAAAATTTCAGCAAACCAAAAAAATGATGAAATTTCATTTTCAATTCGTGTAACACTATATTTCAATTTTATCAAATGTCTAACAAGAAGTTGTTTTCAAACGTATTAATCAGTAATCTTACAAATTTCAATAAAGATTCTTTACCATCAAAATATATTAGAAAGCTTGTAAATGATTTAACAAATTTGTTAAATGAATCAGATTATTATGATGTAGAAATTAGAGTTGGAGAAGACGACGACATTAAAACTTTTAAAGCGCATTCCAACATTTTAAAAACAAGATCATTGTATTTTAAAGCAGCCTTGTCAAGTGATTGGGCGAAAAAATCTGAAAATGGACTTTATTTGTTCGAAAAAAAAAATATATCTCCAAAAGTATTTGAAGCTCTTTTGATGTAAAATAAATAATTTAATTATATAATTATATTTTCTTCTTTTTTTTTAATTAAAAAAATATTATCTCTAAAATTTCTATTTTTTTCTTAAAAGGTACATTTATAATGGAATTCTTAATACAGATAATCTAAATGAACATGAAATTTTCGAATGTATTGAAGCATGCGATGAATTATGTTTTCATGAACTGATTGAGGATCTGCTAAATTATTTCATCAACAATAAACAAGAATGGATTCATCAAAATTTAATTTATTTACATGAAAATTCATCAAAAAATAAATCATTCGGTTCGCTTCAAGACTATTGCGAAGAAGCAATTGATGCAAATCCAGAATTATTTTTAAAATCCGATTATGTTGCATCCATTGAAAAACCATTGTTCATATCTCTATTGAAAAGAATTGATTTAGAAATGAGTGAAATTGATATTTGGGATCACGTTATTCAATGGGGAGTTGGTCAAATCGAAAATTTGGAAGGAAAAAATGTGACAGATTGGAACAAAAATGATTTCAAAGGGATGAAAAATATATTATATGATATTATTCCATTAATAAGATTCAATGAAATTTCCAAAAGTGACTTTGATAAAAAAATTATTCCTTACAAAGAAGTTATCGATAAAGAAATATATAATGAACTTTGTCAAATTCATCTCACTAACAAATGGCAACCTAGGTTGATATTGCTCCAAAAATGTCCAAGGGTAAAAGTAGGGAAAGGAAATTTGCTAAATTTAAAAACAAAATGTTTGATTTCCAAATGGGTTGACAATAAAAATGATTCGTACGATTTAAAAAATATACCTTACGAGTTTAGATTGATTCTCAGTGGAACTCGGAATGGATTTTCCAAGTCGGTTTTTGAGAAAAGATGCTCCAGCATTGAACAAACTATAGCCGTTATGAAAATTAAAAATACAGGAGAAATTGTTGGTTGTTATAATCCGACCCGTTGGCGTTTAATGGAAAAGCTTCCAGATGAAGAATATTGGATCCAAACAAACGAAAGCTTTATTTTCAAGATTGATAAAAATCAAATCAATTATTCGATATTAAGTAGAGTAAAAGACCCTCAACACGCAATAGGCTATAATAGTCCACTCGTTTTTCATCACAAAAATAATATTACAATTTATGAAGCTTTCATCAATTTTAACGAATTGGCATTATGCAATGATGTTAAAAAAGATTTTTATTGTTTTTATAATTTTTATTATTTTGATGAAAATTCTTATGAAAAAGATTTAAAGCTTGTAAATATGAAAAAATATTTTCATTCGTTAGAAGATTATGAAGTATATAAACTAGTAAAGAAAAATTAATATATAGATTAAATAAATTGTTTTCTATATTTATAAACTTTTGAATATTGATGTGTGTAAAAACTTATATGAAAACTCTATGCTACGGTTTTTTTCTTGTTTGTTTTGCGCAATCATCTACGAGACTAAGCTTTGTGAAAAAAATAACTATAATATTTATATATCCAACTAACTATAAACGAAATATAAACAAACTTGGTTATAATGTAACTCGTAAACAAAGTAAGAATTTAAAGAAACATGAATGAGTTCAGGGATATATTTATGACAAGCTTGTATTTTTTCAGCTGCTGCTTTCTACTAGCATAACGCCATGTTTGATTGTTCTTTGTTGCACATGGTTTCAAGTCCTTATCTGGAATCTTTGGCATGTGTCTTTTAGTATTCTGTCAATTATTAATTTCCGAACTCAACATAAAAAAGATGTAATTTTTCAATTTTTTAGCTCTCATTTACTTTTTGAAGTCCAGGTAATTATTTCCCCACTCTTTGGTGATTATTAAACTATGAATATTTGTTCTTTTATTTTTATAATATGGTTTAAAATTACAGTTCACTCTCTCTATAACGAACCCTCTGTCCCTATATGTAATTTCTTTACTTTTGGTCGTTATAGAGAGAGAAATTAATTATAAAAAATTGAAACGGGGACAAAAGGGAAGTTCGTTATAGAGAAA